TTCTCTTGTAAATTAAAAAGTAATGCGTTACTTTACTAGTTACTTGGGGAAAAAGTAATCTGATTACGTAACTTGCGTTACTTGTAATGCGTTACCCCCAACACTGATAATGATACATATTATATGCCCATTCCCTAGCAAGAAAATAAGTGTAACATAAAGATCAGAAGGACCAGAATCCGGCCACAGGTTCAAGATGGTGACGCTGGTACCCGTCTAAAGCAGTGGAGGAGGAGGAGGAGGAGTGCGCCGAGCAGAAAGGGCGGGAGGGAACCTGATGCATTCAGTAGCCGAGAGAGAGAGAGAGAGAGAGAGAGAGAGAGAGAGAGTTTTAATCCGTAACACTGAGCAGTTTATTTCGTTGTCGACGCGTAAATCATGTAGAATAACCGCGCAGGTGCTGCAGCTGCGATTTTATTGCAGTTAAATTAAAAAAATAAAAAGCTCCGGTGAGTGCCTGCGTTGAATGCGACTTTAAAAGTGAACCGTACGTGTCTTAGAAAAACAGTTTGAATAGAAATTGTGCTAGGCGATGTAGACGCGTTAAAGCGTCCAGAACTGACTGTAATTTTGGCATAAAGTCCATCATGGAGGTGCGTAAAGCGCTCACGTGTGTTTTGTTCAGCGTGCTTCTGTGGGCAGGAGACGCTCAGAACTCGGTACCTGATTCAGGTGAGTCGTTTCAGTCACGTTTTCTTTCGGAGCTTAGTTTGAGATTTTGGTGAATCATATTCGGAACTCGGTGTCTGATTCAGCGGAGTCATTTGAGTCAAGCATTTCATTCGGGACTCAAAACCAGAACGATAGACTGTGTTTGCTTCAAGACTCAGCGTGTGATTTAGGTGAACTATATTGACTGAGCATTCAGTACTTTGATTTACGTGAAACATATTTTTTAATTCAAAACTCTAAGTAATTTAGGCGAATCATTACAGTTCTCTATACCTGATTCGGGTGAATCACATAGGTTTATTCAAAACTCCATAGGTGAGTCATGTGGTCAGTACCTAATTCAGAAGAGTAGATCATCTTTTATTTAGCAAAACAAAGACACTTACATAGTTATTTCATGTTAGCTATTGCATATTAACTAATGTCAACATATAGAACCTCATTAAAGTGTAAAGTGTTAACAATTACTTTGATCAATGTTGAGTTAACGTTAACCTTAGTGTGCATTTCTATTCTATTATTTTCTATTCTTGGTTCGATCAAGACCTTGAAGCCCTTTAAACATGATGGATGAAAGAAGGAATATTGGAGATACTTTCAGATAATCATGATTAAAGGAGCAGCAGAATACATACATTACAAATGTGAGCTAGAAAAACAAAAAAACGTGTAAATTAATTTTGCTTCATGCAGCGTGTCGGATTCTTGTCCTTTAAAGCATATGGCCCAAGTTTAAGTGATCTGAGCAAAAGAAAAACTGAAAATAACAAAATACTTGACAAGAATTGGGTCTGTTCGTATATGTTTTAAGTTGCAGTAAAGCATTTTCTCCCTGGGTGTCGTCTTGTATATTTTGTTCTATTATATTCTAAAATTCTATGTGAATGCCTTCAGGTCTCACAAATAACAGTGAGTATTAGCTGTATGAATAGAACTGCAATAACTTGTCAGCACATTGCTGACATACATTTTGAGTGAGGCATGCGAATTAAAGGACTTTTCCTGTCAGTCACTAATGTTAGGCTATCAACTGCTCTAGGGTTATGAGAAACCTATCAAATGCCAGAAAATAGAGGTATTGTGTACAGTTTGCTTCTGCTGATGTCTGTCATGACATCCCACTGAAATCATGAAATGCATGATAGAAGATATGCAACAGAGGAATTTATGCATTCACTGTATCCAAAAGCGCTCACTCATTCACTACATAGTGGAAGTCACATACAGTATTTCACTATATGAGGAACGAGAGAGCCAAAATTATCATATTTGAACACAGCTCCATACAAGATTGTGCACTTTGTATGACTTCACATATCTGTTGCATGCCAATGACATAAAAACTACGATTTTAATCAGATTGCATGCAGATTGCACATGGTTTAGATTAGGTTTCTTGATTTTCTGCTGTGCAGACTATAAATCTAAACAGATTTGAGTCAGATATGCCACAAAAACGAAATTTTAGTCAGATTTCAAATTGCATATGGATGTATGTGTGGATTTGTAAAAATCAATCTTCATGCGTTTAATATGGAAGCTTGTTTCCGCTACAGGAAAAAATGAAAATCTCACAATTTAGGATTTTTTTCCTTGCAATTCTGAGTTTATATCCCACAATACAGACTTTCTTCTCTCATTTCTCAAAAGAAGTCAGAACTCACTACGGTATAAACATGTGAGACATACTCATAATTGGAAGAAAAATTACCTGTTTTATTCCATAGCGATAAAAAAACTGAATTGCTTCATGTAAATGCAGAAATCAGAGGAAAAAAAATGTCAGAATTCAAAAAAAGTCAAAATTCTGAGTTTATATCTCACAATTCTGTTAATTTCTTGCAATTCTGAGTAAAAAAAAAAAAGTCAGAATTGTCAGATGAAAAGTTGAAATTACCTTTATTATTCTGTGGAAAAAACAAGCTTCCATAATGTACTGCTGTTCAGACTATAAAAAACAAAGCAGATTAGAATCTGATACGCCAAAAAAAACAATTTTTTGCTGCCTGTCTGCACAAAACCATAGACACACCAACAGTGACTCACAGAGAGTAATTCTGGAAGAGCCTTGAGCATTTTGGCTTTGACTGCAGGAGTTTCTGTGCAAAGTGCCACCGCACCCTGCTTCCAAGCGGTCTGGCAAAGGTCAATTATTTAGCAGTCGCAGGTTCAAGTGACCCGATGGGCTCTTTTCTCTTAGCAAAGCAGAAGAAAACTATGCAAACTATGCACACGGTTTTAAGTTTCATCCAAATTCATTGGTGAAACAGGACTTTTGTCACCAAAACAAGCAAAAACTGGGCTACAAATATTTTTGCAATAGTGCAAGATTCTTTTGTATTTTGATTCAAATTGGTTTGGACGCCTCCAGATCTTCTCACAGGACTTGGGTGGGCGACTTTGGATTGTTTTAGGTGGCGAACACTTGGCTCTCTGTGGCCTTTCACCCACTTGCTCTTTTCTGCACACAGACTTTCTTCCTCTTCAGGGGCTTCTGGAAAAGCCTCTACATTCCTTTTTTTACTTCATATGGAACAGTCTATTCTCACCTCCCCCTTTTTCTCCATGCCCGCCCGTCGTCGACCATCCGCCTCCCGCTTGTAACATCCAGTAGCAGGGCTGTTCCTTCCCCCATCTGTTTATGTTTATCATGCAGCTCCAGGTTGGAGGGCATCTCTGCCAGGAAATTCCTGTAACGGCCAAATCAAATGTTCCATCTCCTGAAATATTGTGAAGCTCACAGTTCTTCCGTATGCTAATTAATACTACTGTGTTCTTATCCTTATTTTTAGCATCTACCGTTCAAGCCCACTTCCTTTGCAAATGACTAATTTCCTCACTCGTTTTTACACTTATCTCCATTTGGCCGTACTTTCTCAGAGTTTCTCCCTATTTTATTGTGTTCTATAAACATTTAGTGAGTTTGTGGTCAATAAAGAGGGAGTGTGCGTACACAGCATCCGAACTTGTAAAAACTTGTATATCAACTTCCATAGTAAACATCTGAAACTGAATTAATACGACTGAAGGTCTGCACAATTTGGGGTGAAAAATCTGAAAAAATTTCTGACAAAAATTACGTTTGCAATTTAAAATGTGAGTTTAAAAAAAAGCTCCAGGTTAGCTGTGCTTATCTGCACAATTTGGCTAAAAATGCAGTGATTATATATCAATATGACTATAAAATAATGACAATAATATTTGTATTATTATTACTAAGTAATATATTACTATTTCAAATATTTTAATTGAGTAAATATTACTAAAAAATAAGAAATATTATTATTAAATTTTAAGAAAACAGCATGCACAACAAAAATGAATTATTAATATTAATTCACTACTAAAAATGAATAAATATATAAATATTTATGAATTATTCATATTGAATTAATAACAATAATTTATTTTTTGTTGCAAAGTAATGCAGTTTTAAAAATATTTCATATTATTATTTATATTTCTAAATAAATGAATATTTATTTGATTAAATAAATGGGGGGGGGGGTTTGCAGCGATGCCATATAAAAACAGAGCCATTTTTTCTTGGTTTGAAGAACTTCTTAATAATCCGAAGATTCTTTTTCCACTATAAAGAACCTTTTGTGGAATGAAAAGGTTCCATTTATGTTAAAGGTTCTTTATGGAACCATAAGATGCCAATAAAGAACCATGATTTTTAAGTGTGTACAGCCAAAGAGATTCCTAGTAGCTTGTATATATACTCACACAGACTCTTTCTCCTCATGCCTTGGAAAGTCTGGAGTGTTTTACTGCTGCTATGTGCTAAATAAACACTCATCTCCCTCTTTTGAGATTTTAAAGCATAGATAATTTCCTTAAATGTCTACTGTTGTTTTTCACCTACAGTTTTAAACTGCTGCGAGGGCGATGTGCTTTTCCTCCTGGATTCATCTGGTAGCGTGGCCTCCTACGAGTTCTTCCGTATGGTGGACTTCCTCAAGGAGCTCCTGCTGCCTTTCTCATTGGGGCCGGATCAGGTGAGGGTGGGACTGCTGCAGGTTGGGACCGAACCCCATCTGGAGTTCAGCTTTGACACCTACAGCTCCCAGGACAGACTGCAGGCGGCCCTGGGGAGGACTAAACAGCTGAAGGGCGACACCAATACGGTGGACGCTCTACTGATGGCTAGGAATCAGGTTTTGAAACAGGGTGTGCCGGGAGGTGCCAGACCAGATCTGCCCAGGGTTCTGGTTTGGCTCACGGATGGAGTGGACCCCGGCGAGGTGCAGGAACCAATGGCGAGGCTGCGGGAAGAGGGCGTGGCTATACTGGTGGTTTCCACTGGTCACGGGAACTATCAGGTGCTGAGAGAGGCTGTAAGTCCACCCGCTGAAGAGCACCTGTTCTTTGTGGACATTGACGATATCAACATCATCAGCGAAGACTTGAGGAACGCAATTATTGGTGGGCTGTTTATTAAATGTCTCAATAACTGCATTAGTTCATGGCAAAAAACAACAACAACAAAAACAAGTACATGTACTCACCCTCCATACTTTACAAACCTGTATGGCTTTTACTTTTGTTGAACACAAAGGTAGATGTTTGATGACCATGGACTGTCAACCTCCAAAAATAAATATATTAATAAATAAATATTATTTGTAATAATAATAATAATTATTATTATTAATAATAATATTAATTCAGTATTAAATGTTTATTAAATATTGACCATGGACTGTCAAGGTCCAAAAAGGAGAAACAACAACAAAAAATCCTCATAATAAAAATAATAATACAATATGATTATTATTTATTAAATATTACATATTTAATATGTTTTGTAACATTAAAATGTAATTTTAAGTGATTTCTTAAAACAATAAGAATCTAATGAGAACTACAAATTATTGCTGAAAATTTCTATTGACTAAAAGAAATGAAAAAGAACCGAAACTAAATGAATAAATCAATATATATGTACATATACAGAAACTTTCAAACAAACTTAAAGGTGAAATGTTGGGACTTAAAACATGCTCATCTTTAAAGTCAACATGAAATAAAATAGCGCATAGATTTAGAAGTTTATTATAGAAGTAAAAAACACCATAAAAGTAGTCAGTTTGACTGCTGTATATATATTCTTCTGAAATCATACTATTTATGTGAGGAACAGACTGGAATATAAATAGTTATTCACTGAAAATTTGGCCTTGTGCAGTAGCTCTCAAATTTCATAAATCATAAAACAAAACATACTTGTAGAAATTAATACAAGTTTGGAATGAGTAACTGATGGCAAATAAGAATTATTGCTTTAATCCTAACTGTAACTTAATCAAATGAAAACACAAAATTCTTGACACTTTACAAACCTCTATAGATCCGGGTTCTATATTTCATCCAGAGTAACAGTCAATCTTATGAGAGCGTTTTCTTAACGGGGAAAGTGATCTTATGTGGGTGTGAATAGCTCCGTCCCTCCACCCCAGTGTGCCGAAAGAATCTCGAATGCCAGTCAACTCCAACACAAATAGCTTGAGACGGCTCCAAGAGAAGAAGGGCCCGGAGGAAACGGACAGAACCCGCAGACACTGTAATAAGAGATGAGGGCTATTTATACAGAAATTATTTTGGCCTTTTCGAACCCCGGCGAAGTCCCCCACAGCGCTAGACGTTGCTATTATTAGTGGGCATTCTTCCGCATATATATATATATAAGGCATTACATATGTGCAACTTCCAGAAACTTACATAAACAAACGCATAGATCACACACAATAATTCAGAGCAGGTGGTGTCGTGCCCTTTTAGAAATTGCCCTAGGCGTGGATTTAGTGACTCGAGTGATTCGTTTAATTTCTGCCATCTCTTATTTCTCTTTCTTCGTGATCAAATGCAGAGATTATCCGGGCCGAGAGGCTACAGGTGAAGTCGGTCACCACCACTACAGCTCAGCTGGAATGGAGGCCTGTGTTGGCTGGCACCGGCTACTACGATATCCAGTTTGGTCCCATCCGAACAGGGCAGACCGCAGGGACGGGAGGTGCAGGCACCAGTCCTGGCACTGATTTGGGTCCTTTTCAGAGGATCACACGGCCCGGAGATGCCAGCTCGGCTAAGCTGATTGGCCTGCGTCCAGACACCATGTACACAGTCACGCTCACACCGAAGGCCAACCTGGAGTTCCTGAACTCCCTTCATGCCACCTTCACTACACAGCCAGGTGAAATATATATATTATTATTATTATTGATTATTAATGATAATTAAGAAATTATACTGCTCATAATGAAAATGATTTTTATGACCATTACTTTTTGTCTTTTAAATATA